TTCCTTCTTAATACTTTTTAACATGAAAGTATTACACATTTTTTTTGGGTTGTTTTAGAGTTCTGAAATTTGCAGAGATAGTTTCTGCAGAAATTAACAAATGAGAGACCTCAACACTATTCTAACTATTGGAGATTAACATAACTTTTATAATTTTTAATGCAAAAATATTTCAAATATAAATAATTTCCTTCTTCAGCTTTAAATTTAGAATAATTTTCTATTTTTTAAGTTTTTAAAGTTTATGCTCATATAAGCAATACATTTCTTCATTCAAAATCTAATGTTCCTTTATTGCTCAAAACATTAAAAACTACCATAAGAGGTCATGAGAATAAATTTTACATAGAATTATCATAGAATTACTATACATGGAAATGCTTTTAAAATTTGGTAATAAGTCATTCAATACTTTAGAAATATTCAGGTATTACTAAAATGTTTTTCTAATTGCTGCATTCTATACATAGTACAGTACACAGAAATTCAACAGTATTTTTTACTACTTCATTAACAATTTAGACTTATAAAATAGCTGCTATGACTCCCTTGCAATAACACCTTTGCACATGTCCAAGTCCATTCTACCTCCCACTTTATACACAAAGTTGTACTGGAAATAACCAGTCTCATCTGCTTATCTATTACTTAGGACTGCTCTTGCAATACAAAGGCAGAGTTAAACAGAGGCGTCAGAAACCATATGGATTAGTCTAGCTTTTCCCCAAACCGAACAATTCCTATTTTAGAGCATAAAAAAAAAAGGAATTTCTAATTACTATGAAGTAAGCAAAACAACAATATTTAAATCCACAATGAATTCCCTTAACAAGGATGCCACTTATAAGTATTGATACAAAAATCCTAAAATAAAATATTAATGAAGAGAAGTAATTAAAGTAAAAATACATCAGGGCCAGTAGCTTACTAAGGTATACAAAATGGTTTAGTATAATTGGAGAGAACATAGCATGAAGAAAATTGGAGTAGACATAAAACCATCATATCTATAATGAACCATAGTAGGCATCAATAAGATGATGGAACTCAAAATCAAGGTGAACTTAATGTAGTATGTACAGTTACTGATTTATAATGATGCACAGCTGAAACCTAAATATTATAAATTTTATGTTACTTCATTAAAAAAGAAGAAAATGAGAAATCTACAGCTTTCGTATATAACCTTCCAGCTATAAGAGCTCACAGAAAAATAAGCACCATTTATAACAGCAAACAAAAGACAATAATTTATCTAGGAATACGTTTACCAGTCAAAGAACAAAATCTATTTAACCCTACAAAAGTGCAAAAACTGACACAAGAATGACCTATCATGTACATTTTGAAGAGGAAGCAAACAACATTTTATTGGAATTTAACATTCCAATAAAATACCAAATGACTATTTTTTGCAGGGGCAGATGAACTAAATTTAATAAATTGAGTTCAAATGAAAAATCATACAAGCAGGAACAGTCTACAAAACCAAAAAACCAAAACAAAACAAAACGAAAAACCAAAGAAAGGGAATTAGACTTTAATGATCTTTAAATAGATTTTACATTTTAATTAAAACCGCGTACCAGCACACTGTATAAAGACGAATGAAACAGGGCAAAAAAAAAGGAACATACCTAAAAAGTTAAGATAATTTAACATACATTAAAAATGACATTTTCAATCTATGCAGGAAAGAATAAATAAATGGATTTAGGCCAATTGGATACTCACAAAAAACTTTATCCATATACTAGGATAAATTCCAAATACATTAAAGATTTAAATGTAAAAAGTACCTACATAAAAATTACTAAAAGATTAAAAGATTCTTTGCTAACTTTAGCGAGAAACAAATTTATCTGATTATCAAAACCCAGGTAAACATGACAATTTAAGAATAAACAACTTCTGCATGGCAAACAAATAGAGAAGACCACAGGGAAAAAATAGCAGTAATTTATATAATAACCTTGGTAAATATCTTGAATATTTTGGAGTTCTTAGTAATTTATAACCAAATTCCTCCAAAGGGCCAAACATATAAACATAAAATTCATAGAAAAAGAAATATAAATGAAACCTAAACTCTTGGAAAAATGTGGTAACATTTACCACAAATAAGAGATAAGTAAAGACCCCAAACCAAGTTCTATTAACTTAGCAGACTGGAAAAAAAAAAACCTTTAATATTAAAAATCTAGCAAGGCTATGGGAGAAATAGGAAGTTTCACATTTTTTTTTTTTCTCAAAGGAGTGAGATGATATCTCATTATGGTTTTGCTCTGGTAAGTCTCCCAACACCTACAATCAGACCAGTGATTTTTGATGTTACTATTATAATCATTTTGGAGCCCACTAACTGTGCCCATGTAAGATGGTGAATTTAATTGATAAATATTGGGTGTGTTCTAAATAACCAGAAATTCTCCTGTCTGTCTGTCTCTTCAGGCCTTCTGATTCCCTAAGCTCCAACAATATTGGGGTTATGCCAATTAATAACTATACAATGGTCTGTACGGATTCAAGCAAAAGGAAGAGTTGCACATTCACTTTCTATCAAGTTAAAAATGACTAAGCTTAGTGAGGAGACATGTTGAAAGCTGAGATAGGCTGGAAAGCTAGGTCTTGCAAGCTATTAGCCAGGTTGTGAATGCAAAGGAACAGTTCCTGAAGGAAATTAAAAGCTCTACACCAGTGAACACATAAATGACAAGAAAACCAGCCTCACTGCTGATTTAAAAGTTTTAGTGGTCTGGATGGAGGATCAAATAAGCCACAAAATTCCCTCAAGCCAAAGCCTAATCCATAGCACGGTCCTTACTTTCTTCAATTCTGTAAAAGCTGACAGAGGAGCTAAAGTTGCAGAAGAAAAATTTGAAGCCATCAGAGGTTGGCTAATGAAGTTTAAGAAAAGCCAGGAAAGTGCAAGATGAAGCAATAAGGGCTTTAGAAGCTACACCAACTTACCCAGTCGTGGAATTAAACTGGTGAAGTTGGCTATACTACACACTGAATTTTCAATGGAAACTTCTTAAATTATATACATTATTATTTTGGACAAAGCTACTGCATACTTAAAATTCTACAGTATAGTGTAAATGTAACTTTATAAGCCCTGGGAAAACCAAATAGAATGTGGCTCACTTCCCTCTACTGCAATAGCCTGAAACCAAGGAATATGGTGGAATTATCTCCCTTACGTGCCTGTATTTTTATATTTAGATACGTGTTGAGTTCAGAACCACATGAATGTAGTATCTATTTTTAAATCAAATTATTTTTACAAGGCTTTCTATGATTAGGATATAATACTGCAATGTCAGGCCATTATAGTATTTCATAAAAAGCTGTCATAAAAAGGGAGCCAAAGGTAAGGAAAATAGGTAACATACTCAGTTTCCTTTATTTCTTGCACCTCGTTAATCCATGCTTCAATAGCACCTGGTAAGTTACCATTTTTGTTTGTTCCGTTTGGATCTTGTAAAGGTTCTGTTCCCAAGTCATCAGCTTCTGAAAAGCAAAAATTAAAAAAGACAAGACTCAAAGCAAAATTTAGAGAAAATTGAATAATTTTTTAATAAATTATCATTACCTAATTTTAGGATAATACATTAGTTACAACAAAAAACTAAGCATTTTGTCTAGAAATTTAATTTTGTTACTGTGTTACTTGTGTTAACTTTCTAGTTCAATTGATAGATATGATAGATGTTTCCTTTTGTACTTTCACGAAAAAATACTAAAATATTATACACTCTGTACTTTTCATCATTATATAAAATATCCTCTTAATTTAAAGCCAGGCAATATGTAAATTGGTTAAAGAAAGTCCAAAAACAAGTTTAAAGACTGATATAAAGTAACAGGAAATTTCAATCATCAAAATTTCTTTCAACTTCTCCTTTACCCCCTCCCCAAAACTCTTACTAATTGTACTTTTACAATAATACTGAGGACATAATTAAAGTGCACTAAATCTATCTTTCTAGACCCTCAAATAATTCATATTCAGAATACTCTATTTTCTGGTATGTTTCATTTTTAACCTGGTTGCTCTGAAAGTAAACAGTGATGAAAAAACGGGGAGTTTCTCCTTATTGTTTCACTTCCTTTCTCCTCTCCCATTCAGATTATTATTATCTCTTTTAAGCCACCATCACACCCCCCCCCTTTTTTTTTGAAAGCTCTATTTTTTAGATATCTATGGATATAAGAATTGGGAGTAGGCCAGAGGTTAGGAGGGCTGGAGCGGGGTTAAAAGGATTCACCAGAGACAGAGGGGGGAGCAGAACAGATGGATCTACTGAAATATACTGCTGAAGGGAGCAGTGGGTGAGACAGGACAAGTCTTCTGTGCCATGTGGGTCAGCTCCCTAGCTGGGGATTGAACTCATGCCTCAGTGACTAGTGATAGCTGATAGTGCTGATACTTTAACTCCTGTGCTACGAGGGAGGTCCCCACATCCTGTTTATTTTCTGGAATCTGCATGCTCTGGTTATTTATGTAACACTAAACTTTGATTTAGTATGTATCAATAAGAAAACAGATTAATTTCTAAAAGTATAAAAACACTATACACATATTTTGATTTTGATGATTTGTTTATAAAGAAAAATATAAGAATTGTTAAAAAACAGTTAATTTTAACACATTAAAACATACCATCCAAATTTCCTTCTGGTTTCAATGTCTGTGGAGATTCCTCAAAAATCTTTGGACTGTTTGTCACAACAGAATAACCACCAGCAGCAGATAGGTTCATTTCCAGTGAAACACAGTTAACTTTTTCTTCTTTAGCAACTAGGGGATTACACTTCTCTTCAGGAGAAATCTCTGATAAAACAAAATATGAAAAATCATGCTACATTCTCAAAATGACTTGAATTTTACCTCTAATAGTATTTACAAAAAAGTACTTTTATGGTAGAGCATTACTTTAAGTTATGTACAAAATTAGTAAAGGATTAAGGTATATGATAATAAAATTTCACTTTCATTATATATCCATACAATGATTACTAACTTGATTAGCATAGTTTACATTCTTCTTCCCTTTGCTGAAAGTAACTTGTATCACAATGGTATTTTTAGGATAATTGTGCTTGTTTCTGACAATTACTAGTTATTTCTAATTCTTACAAAACTCTCATTTTTAATTAATGTCAAGAAGATGCATTTACCTCATCAACATCTATGAAAACTATAAAGATCCCCAATCAATCCTATTCACTCTTTCAAAAATGTAAGTTTCCAGTTCACTCTCAGGACATTGCTCCCCAACGCTAATTTCATCATAACTAATTTAGTTGACATTGCTTCCCCTTTCCCTGCAAGGAAATATATATATGCATATATATATATATGCATATATGCATATACATACATACACTCATATATGTATATATGTACAAAAATCCATCCAATATCTGGCCTCTCAGTTCCTTTCCAATGACCTTTATTACTTCACTCTACATTCTCATGGTGTTATCTTGGAGACCTTGTCATTACAGGTTTTAAAAATTTTCAGTGTTCAGACTCCATCTTCAAATCCTCTAACATTCAAGTTTTCCATTTCTCTCTCTCTACTACTCCAACTCTAAAACATGTCACCCCTCAAACCCATTACCTAGAAAGTGTTGCTCCTATTATGTTTTTCTCTTCCCTATCTACCTATTAAAATCCATCTGAAGACCATCATTATAATTATTATCTTGGGCCACACCTCTGGAGTGGGAAAACTGGTCAACATTCCAAGATGTCACTAAGAACAAGACTTTCCTGTTTGAAAGAACTTTATAAAGATAACTTTAACCTACTTTTACTTCATGAACCTTTTACCTGATTGCTTTACCTCTATCTGACTGCTTTATTTTAGGACTCCTTCAATGGACCAGATTTCATCCATTACCTCGCTCTCCCTTAACCTCCTATCTTCTTTTTCTTTCTGTAACATTCTCCAATCTGGACCCCTTTTTGGGACAAGTTATAGGTGTTTACTTAAATTTGTAAACCTGAAATACCTCTGCTATTCCCAAATAAATGAATTGGGGCTTTTCAGATAACCTCATTGTTCTGTTATTGGAGGTTAACATGGTTATTCCTGAGTTATGTCCTTTTGTAATAAGTGGGTCGTCTAATAAGTAAAATGTTTCTCTGAGTTCTGTCACCTGCACTAGCAAATTAATCACACCAAAGCATGTGGTTTAGCCCATGGCTTAGAAGGAAAGATGATAACCTGGGCTTTGGACTGGCATCTGAAATGAAGGGTGAGGAGAGGAGTAGGATTATTTTGTAGGACTGATCCTTTAACTTGTGAGATATAACACTATCTCCAGGTATTTTTTCAGATCTGAGCTGAAATATTGGTGTCCAAAAACAATAGGTATGGAAGTACATGCAAACATACACACATATACACAACTAGAGTCAGACTTTTTTAGCCTGGAATTTCATTTTCTGTCTTATCTAACCAATGAGCTCTTAAAAAAAAAATTGATTTACATATGTATTGGGTGTAGGCCAGAGGTATGGAAAAGTGATAGGATTCACCAGAGATGGAGCAGGAAGCAGAACAGGTAGATCAACTGTAATACATTGCTGAGGGGAGCAGTGGGCAAGACAGGAGAGGTCTCCTGTGCCATGTGGGTCAGCCCCTAGCTGGGGATAGAACTCATGCTACAGCACTTCACAGTTCTGAGACTTAGCCCCCTGAACCACCAAGGAGGTCCACAATGAGGTGTTTTAATCCACAGTCTAACTCAAAATCGTTTGCTTTCTCTGTAGCTTTCCCTGACCTAAAACTGTCATGTAATCATTATTAACTTGTATTGATAACAGAAAGCATCCCCACTGAGGTTCCTAGCCTTGCACACACAATATCTCTATCACACACTTTGGCACATGTGGTTTCACTGTTGTAAGAACTGTAACTTCTTGTCTTAAAGTCTCATCATAAATCATTTTCTTCTGAGTGTGTTAGGGAAAAAAATAAAAATGAAGGCAGTTGACAACATTTTGAAGTCGTAACTATGTAAGGGTTAATTAAACTTTTTTAACTTTACTGAGATAAAGTTGATTCCTTAAACATCTCATAATTTTGTGCATAGTTTCATTCTTGTCCTTTTCATATATCATTTTTCTGTTTATTGTATCTGTCCTCTAAGAATAATATTTTAATTCTTTATACTTTATCACCTAACATAATAATACACATAGCTTAAAAATGTTCAATAGGCCCTCCCTGGTGGCGCAGCGGGTTAAAGCACTGCACTGAGAAGCTAAAGCCACTTCCGCATGAGTTCGATTCCCGCCTGCCCCGGA